GAATGCTTAAGTATTCCAATATGCTACCAATTAAACATGGAACCATTTCAAAATAATGCTTAATAACAAAGTTGAAATTCGATCTTCAACTGTTACGTTCGTACTCCCCAAGGTATCACCCCTTAAAAGGAATGACGCCAATTTTGAATCACCCTGTATATAGAAATGAATTTGATGATTTTGTTCTTTTTCAATAGTGAATTTAATTGTTGGTTCTTTATTATTATTGATTTATTATTTATTATTATACAATGGGGTTTGTTGTTTTACAGCACCGTCCCCGTGTGATGCCATTCATCCCGAATGCGTCTGGAGTGCGGGTACCAGCTAGGGATGGTTATGACTCTTCCAGCTACGGCACGCCAACTGCGCTCCAGCAACGAAAGGCCCGCGGGGGCGCCGCTAACCTGGTGTAAGACCAGCACAACTCGGGCCGACGCCAGTGCTAGTGCTAGGGCGGCGCCACGGTCGCAGGTTCGGCGCTCGTGGCACGTCGGCTACGGAGCCCTACACGAGGTGGAGGAAGTGGCCGGAGCACTTAACGGAGCCAGTCGCCGCATTGAAGATTGTGCAAAAGGTAAAGCCACTGTTGTATTTTGCACGTTCCCTTTTTCCCTCGTCTCTAATTCATTATCTATACTGAAAATTATAAACGCCCCGACCCATATCGAGTACCTATATCCTGGGTCATTTCGTTTTCTAGACTCCGTCACAGTTAGTTATTTCACGTCATGTGCAATCTTAATCTCTGTTTTTGACGGAGTAGTAATCTAATTTACAATATAAGATCATTATCGGAATTTAATTTGGAGCGATTGTTTGAGGCCGAAAGTCGTGTACAGATAAAACGATAGTCACAGGTTAATTTCATTTTCCTGCCACTGGTGACCCTGCATGTAGCAAGGGCGGGCTTGTACTAGTGTATTCCGAGCAATGTTTTCTTCAACAGAGTTTTCCTATGGTAGGTCCTTTTATTTTACATTTCATTAGCGCCCCATACACGGGTAGATTATCCGTACAGTTCAGATACGTAGAGATTTGATTCGACAGATCCAGATCGGACGAATTAAATCTTTTCCTGTCTACTAATTAACATACCAAGCACTAGTGCCGATTGTTCCAGTGGGATTGGAGGTATCAGATCCGTCCGTTAGTGGAGTGAAATCTTACGTTTCAGACAGACTTGGTCTGGCGCGTGGTATTACAAGTGAACTGAAAGATCTGGTTGTGGCAGAGCAGATTAGTTAAACTAAGTGTTTAAAATGCGAAGCAAGAAACTGATAGCTATTGCTTGTGCTGGCATCATAGTGTTTTCAGAAAATCTAGGCAAAAAATGAGAAGAAAGTGGGTAGACTAGAGACTATAGACTGGAAGGGCGTCGGCAGCCGTAGGAAAAAATAAGGCAAAAAAAATTAAAAATCGAATGCACGCTGCACACGTTGTTATTAAAACAATTAAATACATAATTATAGAAAAACAAACAAACGATACAAACGGAACTAATTAAAACCAACG